TAAAAGTGCAATTTCTTCATTCATTTTTAAACGAAATATGCCTAACCCAGACCCTATTACAGAATAATCCTTGCAATCATCATTCATTGTTGGCAACGAATAACTGAATGAAAATTTAAGTATAATTTCCACGTTTTTTTTCCACGTTGGTTCGGAAATACGTATTTATAATCAGGTCGAAATGGTTTTGTCAGCAGCAGGTATTTTATTTCGTCATTAGGTGGATTATGTTGCGATAATTGGTACCCAATATCATTGTCATGAGTTTCTGAATGCGAATTGATAACAGTCAAGTTCTGATCAATATTAATTGAATTAATTTCCTTTCCCTGATCCAAATTAGGATTATTGATTTGATCGGTATTAATAGTTTTAAGATCAGAGTCGTCGATCTCGGTTTGTTCTGAAGAAGAAGTAATGCAAGTTTTTTTCGTAACAGTAACAAATGAATCGAGTGTTCGTTTATTACCAGCCATTTTACGCAAAGAATATTCAATGTATCAGTGATAGTATTTTTCTGACGGCAATTTTAACGTTGTTGTTCTTTTATATTCATTGACAGAACAGAATAAAATGTCTACTATTTTTCATTATCGAACAACAACGCTGCCAATTTCTTTGATTATCCGACGACTGTTATGCATATAGTTGCACTTTAATGATCGTGCATGACGATGAGTGTTAGTGTCTTTTCTCGTTGAACAATCGCGACTGTTTCTTTCGTTTCTTTCATTCGTTAACGAATAGTCTCATTGAACATCTTTCAACACATAATGATGTCTATTGCTCTGTGTTTCATTCCCAATCAGTCCTTTCATCATTGTGGGTTTTTAACCGCTGATATTTTTACAATGTTTATGCATCCTTTGAGCTATATATTAATATTGCATTACTATTATTACTTATTAAGTGGAACTGGAACTTTCAGTCAATATTCAATAGGATCGTCTATTGAAAATTCAAACTATTACTATCTAAATTGCGAAAATATTGTTCAGAGCTGTACCGTTCAACTGTTCGTTTTAAGCTACATTTGTCATTGTGTTTTAAATAACTCTATTTTTTCTTGAAAGATTGATAGGTATGCATTGATATCTTTATTGGCAACTTTAAGTAGAGATATAAGTTGGTTTACAGTTTCTAATACGATGACGTTATCGTAGTCTTGATCTTGATGATTGGTTTGATGAAAAATATCGTAAATTGATTTATGTATATCATTACTTTTCCATATTGGGCCATTGCTATTGCTTGAAAAATTTATTGGGCAATAACTTTTTAACTATTGGGCAATTGACCAATGGCCACCCCCCTGGCTACGCCACTGCTCGACAAGGTATAAATTCGCCACCGAAATGTATGGATACAAATTCAACTAAAGTTAATTGTTCACCATTTGCAGCTGGTATATTTTCATATATATTAAAATTGGATCTTAATGTAACCCCACCACTGGATCCGTGATAGCGATTTTCATTACTTAAGACGCATTGATAATTCGAAAAACTAGTGTTTCGATATTCTAGATCTTCGATCCATTCATCTGAACTTTTATTTAATTTATATGGAGCAATAACATGTCCATAAGATACACAACGTCCACCGAAACCATGAAATATTTTTTTCAGTTCTTCAAATGGGGGTAAAAATAAGTCATAGTGGTGACGTCCACTTGATTCTTGAGTCGAAAATTCATTGCCGGGGTATGAAACAGTGATAATAGGATCATCAATTCGAACGTGTTCGATTGATGGTATGAATATTATTGAATCATTTCGAACTTTTTCTGTCTCTTTCACAACCACAAAATCTATCATATCGAAATCACCGGTAATTCCTAATATTGGATCTTTTTCAATATGACGTTCACGTATGTCAAAATATTTATTTGGGTCAAATAATGTTGTTTCGACAATATTGAGAGACATTATATTATTTCTTGCATAAGCAAAATCGAAGTCATTATTCGTAACAGGCGTACACTGCTTTAATAAAGGCGATGTAGCATAAATATCATTTGTGTCGGTAAATGATGACGAGAGTTTAATTTGACTAATGTTATGTTCATTGGTACCAATTAAATTTTTACTCATGTAAAAACCAGAACATGAACCTGATGGTAAACAAAATCGAACAACACCATTTGCAATATTCTGTAATTTATTACGATTATTATCGAAATACAAACGAGCTTCATCGGAGATGTTTTCTTCTTTATACACTAATTCATCATTTTATAATCTAGCAATATCAAATATAAATGGACAAGACACAGATATCTGTGAAGATGTTGACGAGACATTAGCCTTGTCATGGTAACAGATAACATACAAAATAGTGCATATATAACGCATTTATTTTTCTTTAATCTAAAACAAAACAAACGGAGCAGAAACATTAGAAAATTAGGTACTTTTGCCGCGCAGCACCAAATTAGGGAAAAATTGGGCGCTATGCGCTAAATTTTTCGGTGAATCCGACAGCTGGTTCCTTATAATTATACTTTGACTTCTTTTCTGGCGTCGACATAATCTACGTGGTTTTTGCCTAAATTTTATTTTTTTCATTGGTTGAAAAAAAGGCGCCAATGAGAAAAATAAAATTTAGGCAAAAACCAC